CTTATAAATGCTTCAGGTCTTAATATTATATAGTAACTCAGTATTGTATTTAACTTATAACATAATGCTCTCTTCTATGATAAGAACTGAAACTTGTTACAATTATTAATAGAATAATTCTAATTATGTTTAGAAAGTTTTTCTAATCTCAGTGATGCTATACTATCATATATTACAAGCTTTTAGCTTATTTAATAATACTTGTAAGACACTTCTGGTTATGTATAGAAAGTTATACTAATCTCAATAATGCTATACTATCTTGCAAATCTTATCTTATATTGGTTAGTTGATCCTAGTCTTGTTTGTTATAAACTTCTATATAGGTATGACCAAAATCTGATTTAGTGCTTTTACATTGCACAAGGAAATTATATGCCAACCTTCAAGATTTTTTCTTTAATAATATAATTAGATTATTCAGCTATGCCAGAAGTGCTTTTAATTTTAATTAAACTAATTTTTTACTATAGCCTGTCATTGTGTTTACTGCTTTTCTCATTATTCTAGTCTTGGTTATTTTCAAACTATTCTTCTAATCAAATTCTTTTCTTAGATCTCAATTAGAACTTATTTGTACAATTTGTTGATTATTCTTTCAAGCAAGTACTCTACAAGTTAGATGCAGAAATGCTAATACTATTTATATTAGAAGGTATAAGAATATTAGTGCTGTTCTAGTCTAAAAGACTTACATGTGTAATCTTTTTATAACTGTAATCTTCTGTAACAACTGCTTGTTACATGTAGTACTTGCACTTTATAATTGGATCTCTTTTTAGAAATTTTTATTTCTATTATTATACTGTACTTGAACTTAACTACAGGACTTTATATTTAATTACAGGTTTCTTATTAGGTTACATAAACTAAAATCTTTTAATTTTGCTTTCAGCTGAATTTAAACTGTTGATCTTGACTGTGAAGAGTATAGAAGCTTAACCACTAAGCTATAGAACCCACATCTCAGAAACTTAATATTGTCAGAATCTTGATAGTATTATAATCTTAGTAGTATTAGAATCTTAATAATATTAAGATTTTAATAATATTAAAATCTTAAGTATTAGAATTTTAAATATTAAAATTTTATTATTATTAAGATTTTAATAATTTGGGATTTTGAATATTGAAGATTTTGATTATTAGGATTTTAATTTGTTAGAATTTTGATTTATTAAAATTTTAAGTATTGGAATTTCAAATATCAGAATTTTGATTTGTTAGGATTTTAATTTGTTGAGATTTAAATATTAGTATTTTGTTATTAGTATTTTGTATATTAGAATTTTATGTATCAGAAATAGGATTCCTCAAAATCAAATCAAATCAAATATTGAATTAATTTGAATTTGATCAAATCAAATATTTGATTTTCAAAAAAATTTAAAATTTTTGGTCGATAAAGAAAAAACTTAATTTACAAAAACTTTTACTATGTTAATCGATCTTGAGCTCTTAAGTAAAAGTGTTTGTCTAAACAAAATACTCCTAGTTCATAGAACGAAAAAGTCGATTGGTCATAATAAAATTTCGAGTAAATGGCTTATAAATTTGAACGTTCAATTATAAATTTTCAAATCAAATCAAATATTTGTTAAATCAAATCAAATTTAACCATATTTGAATTTGATTTGATTTGAAAATTTCAGATTTGAATTTGATTTGAACTCAAATATTTGATCAAATCAAATCAAATCAAATCAAATTGCAAAACCCTAATCAGAATTTTGTGTCAGGATTCTGATATATAACTAGTGAAAAAATCTTAATAATGATTTGATTATATTTTGTTAATAATGTTACAGATCTTAAAAATAACAATTCTAATATAATAATTGAGTTATTATTTTTTAAGCAGTAATCTAGAATTCAAATCTTATCAGTAACAAAATTTGAAAAATAACTCTAATTTAGTAACTTAAAAAGATATCTAAGATTATAACTTTATAATTTTAATTGTACTAAAATTAATTTTAAGAATATTACATAAATAAATTTAGAAAATATAAACTATAATAAAAAACTGAATACTGGCAAGTTAGATAGAATTTCTGAAGTTGTAATTCTATAATTTTTATTATATCAGACTAATTTTAAAAATATGCAATATCATATAAATAAATTTAAAAAATATATACTAAATAAAAAAGGTTGCTTAAAAATTCTAAATAATAAAATAATATAATCTTTAATAGTATTATTTGTGAAAATTTTAATTTAAAAAAGAAAACTTAAAGCAAATGACTTGTATAAATAAGAACTCTTAAATAAAAAAATCTAATAATTTAGCTAATTAGTTGATCTAGATATAAACTTATATTATATAGAGTTTACTAAATTAGTAATATAAAAGAACTTGTAAAAACATACAAGATATTAGTAAAATAATAAAAAAAAGTACTAAGATTATATAAATTTTATAAAAATATAACAGTTAAATGATTAACTTTAATTATAAATATTAGTCTTAACTATAACAAAATATTAGATTAGTTAGAAATTGTAATAATATAAAACTTTAGTAGATTTAATATAAGATCAAAGATTTTTTATATAAATAAACTAGTTTAAAGACTTAATAACTATGACATATTTGTATTAATAAAAATTAAAATAATTAGTAGAATAGATAAATAGATGAATATAAAAACTATATATTTAAATAAAGAACTTACAGATAGATTCTAAGTATAATAATTAGTCTAAAACCTTTGAACAAATTACTTAAATTAAATAATGATTAAAATTATAAGTGTATAGTTGAATATATATATATATATATATATTTTAATATTAAGGTGAGTAATTGTAATCCAAAAGTTTATTGATAATCAGTTGGCATAAAACTATTGTTAACAAAAGCTATAGAGCCAATTATAAAAAAAGTATACAACTAGCCACTTATATAACTTTAGTTATTGTTTATTTTAAGTAATCTATCTAAAGGTTTTACACTAGTTGCTATACCTAGAATCTGCTTATAGGTTCTCTATTTAAACACTCTAATTTCTATATTTACCTTTATCCTATCAACTGCAGAATTTCTACAAATATGTCATGATCACTAAGTTATGTTTAACTTTATACTAAGCTCACTGAAACCTTCTATATTCTATATTTACAACTAACCTAGTACCATTCTGACTTAGATCATCACTTGCAGTTAGGATTAATTATTAAACCACTATACCTTTGTAAAGTTTACAAGGACTCTGATACCTTCTTTTCCTAACTTCTACCTCCTACTTCTGGATCTATAAGACCCACAAGATTTCACAAACTATCAATCCAGATGGCCTATCTGATGAATCCGACAGTCTGGTTGGTATATGCTCCTCTACACATGTCATTGTTTGATCTATCTAAGATCCTAGTAATCCTTTTTTGAGACCTTTTGATGGTTCAGTAATATTATCAAAAGTTTATGCTACCTCTTTATTTGGGATTTCCAAGTAAGTTTCTGATTTTTTGGTTCCTTTGCTTTTTGTGCTCAGTGATCTTATTATGGATTTGCACTAAAGTCTTATGCAATACTGATTATTGACATTCCTCTATATAGGTGTAATATTACACTTTATATAGATGCCCTAAGTTCTCATTCAAGATAGAGCAACAAAGGTTACAAATATACTAATCCAACTGATTAACAGAAATAGTTACTATAACACAGATCTTATTTTTCAAAATTCATCATCTATGAGATTTGAAATCTAGACCTGTCACTTGGGAGTTGATAATCTGACTACTTCACTAGGTCACCATGTTGTATATTTTTCCTATAATTGCTCTTTGTGACTATTATAATACAATCATAAAATTGAAACATACTAACAATAATATTCTGAATTATAAATACTCATCTTAATATTAAAAAAAAAAACCTTCTATCAAAGATTTTATAATTTTTTTTAATAATTACAAAGATTCCAAACAAAAAGTTAATAAAAAATTTATACCAAAATTCTAAATAATCATCTTATACTGTTTATAATTACAATTTATTTATTAAATAATTCTTATTCAATTTTTCAATATGACAATATTTTAGTTCATAAGATGTTAGATTGACTTAATTCAAAAAACATTAATTATATGAATTGACCCTCATAATCCCCTCACCTTAACCTTATAAAAAAATTTTAAAATATCATAAAAGACAACATTCAGAACCGTGATAACTTTCCAAGAAATAAATTTGATTTTAAAATGGCCTTACAAGAAGCATGATCAAGTTTGGATACATTGGTTCTTCGTGTAATTGCAGACTCAATGACACAAAGAACCGACTAGGAGGTCGCTCAGTAAAGTATTAAATAAATATATATAAAAATTTTTGATGTATATGCGACCAAAATTAAATAAATTATTTTTTAATCAAAAATTGGGCGTTACTTTTGTTGGCTACTGTACATGAAATCCATGTTACGCCAAATTACATGAAATTTTCATATGATCCAACCATGGAATCATATTATCTAATGATCACGTTTCTTACGGTACTTTTACAACCCTAGTAATCTGCAAATGCTGACCAGAATTCCGACCTGAGATTTGGGCTAACGCTAACGTTAAAACATGAGGTTTTAAATTTATATCATTTATCGTTATTGTTATTAAATAGACTATATAGTTTAAATTATATTAGTTTATGATCGAGAATATGATTTTTTTAAAATACATCGCCATTACATACAAGTCAATACATTTTTTCAATGTCACATTAAAGTGCAGTACAGTACATATAATTTACTAAAGACTCAATTTAATGATCATTTTATCATGCTTACAAAAAAATAAATAAAAGTTCCCCAGAAATGTGACATTTATAAAAATAAGAACACCAATTAGCGATAATTGAAAGTCACTCTAAATAAATTAAAATTTCAAACTAAATGTTTATTTTTAAGGTATCTAATTAGAAATTTGTCCGATCCAGCGATCAAAGTTCCTTTGGTAAAAGAAATATATAAACTCAATATCAATGCATCAAGACATTTTCAACTTTCAGTTTCTTCTTGTCCCAAAGACAGATTTAAATAACATTGACACAATTCCCAAAGCAAAAGTTGTAATCAAAGTTGTAATCAAATAAAATAGGCCACCTTCAACCTTTTCACATTTATTGGATTGTACCAAGTGCTTTTTATTGTTCCTTGTTAAAACGACATCTCGGGAGGTTGAAACCGTGATTTGCTCTTCGTTACCTTTGCCGATTAATTTTGATTTCGATGTAATAACAGGTTCTTGTGTTATCTCCCGTGTTGATTCACCAGATGTTAATGACCTGTTCTTTCGTGAATTATTGGTTGTATTTGAGATTGTTCGTGGTTCTTTTAGGATTTCTTCTGTTTTTTGATCTTCGATAGTCGTATATGTCCCGACCTCCTTTGATGAATTATAGATTGTTGCAGTTGTAGAAACACCAGAGGAGAATAAATTTAAGTTAGCTGTTACACTACTCTCAGGCGCCCCGGACGATAGAGTGTCGATTACAGGATGTCCACTCTCCGACTTTTCTAAATTATTTGGCGTTTCGATAATGCTTTTTTCTGAAGTAAAATTCTTATTTGGTTTTATCTCTACAGGAATGATATTTGAGTCAAGTTTCGATGACCCATTAGAGACATCCTTTATTGCTGATCCTGACACGTCATCTATGTGAGAAGCTTTTTCGACTATTGATAGTATTGCCTCGTTAGTTACGTGAGAAGATGTAATTTCATAGATTTTATCAACATTATCGTTGATAGTTTCCGTCATTTCAATAGGATCCTCAGTTTTACTGGTTTGTTCATTAGTTGGCTCAACTAAAATCTCATTATTTGACTCAACTAAAGTTTTAAAATTAGACGATTCTTCAGGGGTCTCTTTCTCAATCTCTCTTATGTGTTTATCGAAAGATGAAACTTCGAAAACGGTAACCTCAGAAGGTTCTTTCACAATACTTGGGCTACCTGACCATGTATCGGATAAAGAGAAATTAGGAATATCGATTTGGTCATGCGCGTTTGTCAATATTTCATCCTGTTCTGTTACGGAGTTTTCAGTCTCGAGAACCTTATTAATTGGCTCTAAAGATGGTGTTAATTCGGTGGCTTGAAGTTCACGCTCAACGACGTTTTCATCAGGAATCTTTTCTGTTGTTTCCTCTGTCGTTTCAATTAACTCTCGCTCGTGTTGGGAGGGTTCAGTATAAGGAACATCAGCATCAGTAGCGGAAGATAATTCAGTAACACTTTCTTCTGTCTTTTTAATGTTGGTAGCATGTTCTTCGATTAACTTTTGCTCAGTATGTACAACGTTAACTGTATTGATTTCCTCACTTGTTTCTTTAATAACACTTTCTTCGATTATTTCAGTATCAGCGGCCTTAATTTGTTCAGTTAACTTTTGTTCATGTTGAGATGACTCTATACGAGGAATTTCAATGGTTGGTGTCGGTTCAACATTATCCTCTACTGATACTTGTAAAGTTTCTTTAACAATACTTTCTTTTATCGTTTTAGTGTCAGCAGTTTCGATTTGTTCTTCATGTTGGAAGGATTTTGTTTGAGGAATTTCATGTGAGGTAGCTGTTTCAACAGTCTCGCTGATGGTTTCTTTGAAGCTTTTCTCAATCATTTCTTCAGAAGTTTTTTCAACAGTCTCGCCGACGGTTTCTTTGAAGCTTTTCTCAATCATTTCTTCAGAAGTTTTTTCAACAGTCTCGCCGATGGTTTCTTTGAAGCTTTTCTCGTAATTATTTTCGATAGTTTCTTCAGAAGTTTTTTCAACATCTTTATGATTCACCAAATTGACAGAAATTTCAGTATGATCACCTACTAAATCAGAGGTAAAGGTACTATGTTCTTGAGATTCACTTTGAGATTTATCAATAGTGTCATGATCCTCGTCCTTGAGGGACATAGTAGAAAACGAATCATTGACAAGTATTTCGCTGGAATTGTCCTTAATCATGATTTCACTTTCTAATTCTTTCACTTGTCTATCTTTGCTTGCATCTTGAGCAATTTCTCTACATTGGTTTGCAATTACAGAAGGTGTATTGTTCTCTTGGATAACGACCTCTTCAGAGGTTGGCTGAATTTTGAGGGTATCCTGGGTAATTTCTTCCGCTTTAGTGTTAATAATTTCGTGAATTTGTTCGTTCTCATGATTGATTTCTCCAGTTGATGACAAAAGTGTGTCATTAGTTTGAATAGTGATATTTTGAACCGTGTCTTTAACTTTTTCAAACATTTTCATTTTTTGTTCATGTAATATTTCTTGATTTTCAATAATAATATTATCATCTTGTTTGGTTTGTTCTTTAATTAATGGTTCAATTTTATCTGAGGCATCTATAACAAACACTTTAGGCGGATTTCCAGTCTCATTATTGTCAATGTGGTTTATTGAAGCATCAATCGGCTCAACTTCACCTTGAGTTTCCGATAAGGTCATGGCCACAATAGTATCAGCCTCTATATCTTTTGTGACCTCTTCAGGGACGATATCACAAAGTTCTGTAGTAAAATTTTCAATGTCCTCAATGGTTTTAATTGCAGGCATATAATCAGGGATGATTTCTTTAGAGGTATAAATCTCCTCACTTTGTTCTTCCTTCGCATTGTCAGAACTATTCTCAACGTGTTCATCATGTGACAAGTTGACGGTTTCTTCGCCGGTTGTGTAAGTATTTGTCTTTTCTATAAATTCATCGCTAAGCTCATGATCATCCTTTCCAGTAATATTCTCTGGAGATTCTTCAATAGACTCCTTTTCAATTATAGCATTATTTACTGGTATCTCTTCGTTGTGTGGGGTGACTGTAACATTATCCGTTATAGTTTCAACTGTAGCAACATCTGTTATAGTTTCGACTGTAACATCATCTGTTATAGTTTCGACTGTAGCATCATTTGTTATAGTTTCAACTGTAGCATCATCTGTTATAGTTTCGACTGTAGCATCGTCTGTTATAGTTTCGACTGTAGCATCGTCTGTTATAGTTTCAACTGTAGCATCGTCTGTTATAGTTTCAACTGTAGCATCATCTGTTATAGTTTCGACTGTAGAATCGTCTGTTATAGTTTCGACTGTAGCATCGTCTGTTATAGTTTCGACTGTAGCATCGTCTGTTATAGTTTCGACTGTAACATCATGTGGCTCATTTATTTCTTCACCGGTCTGAACTTCATCTTTAACTTCCTCTTTGAGTCCATTAATAGTTTTTTGATCCACATCTTGTTCTGGGATTTTTTCATTAATTACATCGATATTATTCTTTTTGTCATCGCCGTCATTATCCGGAGGCAGTGGTTCCACTACAATCACGTGATTGTGATTCCCGCTAGAATCAGGATAGCTTGGTATATCTTGATTCAAAACCCATTGCCCATCAACAACAAATTTATAGCAATAAGTTATGTTTGGCTTTAAATCAAGAGTAACAATAAATTCGGATGAACCTTCCAATTTGGTCATCTGAATTGGACTCCATGGTGAATAAGGGGAGTCAAAACTTCCGGCTACCTGCACATTTGAGCCCCAGTGCGGCCATTTAAACGTAGTTTGCACAAGATTGGAATCTGAATGACTGGCGTCCGGCATTATGGCGGAGGATCTAGCAAAAAAAAAGAACCTTTTAAATTTGATGTTTCATGAGAAAGTTGAAATTTGATCTTTACACATCTTATGAATTCTTTCATACCTTTAAATAAACCCTCCACTTAATATTTTAATTTTATAACGTTATGAATCAAAAATAAAATTTCTTCTATGCAAAATAAATATACCATACATTTATTATAATTACAATTTTGACTTGCGACACCCTTTTTTTTTTTTACAAAAGAAAAAAAGAAGGGGAGTGTAAAAAAAAAATGAAATGAGAGCACCTCTTTATTTATTCCCACAATAATAGTCAAATGATTTAAGATAAAGTTGGATGTGAGCGACACAGTCCAAAGATATTTAAGGAAACTATAAGACTGAAATGGGTAATTGGTCACTTTTACTAGAAAAAGTACAAGCCAGCTGACAAGGGGAAAATTGATCTTTTGAGTTTAAACTTGTAATTAATATAAACTTGTCCTTTTGGGTAAAAGACGAGGTAACATAACAATCAAAAAAGAGAAATTGGCGTCAAGACCATGCAGGTTCTTTAAAAATTAAATATTCTCGCTCATTTTGTTCGTCACGTTTTAAAGTATCCTACAATCACACCGCTCAAGGTTTTTAAAGAATTTGTTCTACAATTTAATGGTTTATAAATACATTTAAATTTTCTCCGGTTTAGCATTTAGAAAATATTCCTTATAGATGTTATCGAACAAGATCATTACCTTTTCACAAAAAAAAATAAAATAAAATAAAAACACGCGTACATCACATATTCAACAGTAAATGCCTTTGGATATCTTAAAATGTACAGTTGCAACTGATTCAACAGGATAAAGTTCATATCATTACGAATGTCATGCATATCATCAACCTTATCTCTAACAATGTCATATGAAATTTACTATGTAATTTCCTATCTGCGCAACATCTCCCATTGCTTCTTTTTGACTATTTTCACGCCGTTTTCATGAATGTCCCACCACTCTTTGGGGTTGGTGATAAGTTAGATGATGTTATAAGATTGCAAGATATCGATATGTGATTCAATTTGTGTAAGTGATTGACGCATGTACTGCAATGTACGTACATATGTATGTACGTCTGTACGTCAGTACTCGAGTAATCATCGCCTGAATTTGAAAACCATAATATTGATATGTACTACAGTTTAATGATGCATTAAAAGGCTACGTATTTCGAATTCAACTTTTTAGCATCTAGCTTTAGCATTTCTCTTAGTCGAACAGCTGGTGATCGATAAAAGTAAATAGAATAATACAACCCGAAAAATTTACCATGTATGTACACATCATCTTTATCACACCTGAATGTATAATTAATTGCAATTTTACATGGTAATAGTAACGGTAACGTGTAACAAAATAATTTTTTTACGACACGGTAAAACCCGCGATTTTACAAAACCTGTTACGTAGATCATTTGATGGTGAAATCCGCTTTTACATATAGCCTACATCTAATCAGAATTAAAAATACGGCAACGTGATTTTTTTAGCAACCCGAAAATGTGTACCAGGTTGCTGCTCCGGTGATCATGTGGAAATTTTTTGAAGTTTGATTTAGCACATATTTAATTTTACATATTTCTTTTTCATTGATTATGTACTTCGCGCAA